GTAGATAGATAAAAACAGCCTAAACTGGCACTTTAGCGAGCGCCTTGTTGTGAATAAAAGTTCCTCGCGATAGTTATCTCTAGACATCATGACGTGAAACAGACTAGAATTTACGGTAAACTTTTAAATATGAAGTGAATTACCATATTAATATTAGTTTGCCATCATACAGACATATTTACATTACCGAATTATAACAAAGTTATTATAATATAACGAAGTTTACTATAATGTAATGAAGTTCGTTATAAGAAAACTTCGTTGTATTCTTATTAGCCAACTGATTTAAAACTTCGTTATAGTAATAGCCAGTAATTAATTAACTTTGTTATATCCAGGAAATTTTATTAGACAAGGTTTTGGGACATCGGAAAACATCGTTATAGTCGAAATTCGGTTTATCCAGGTTTCGTTATCCCAGGTTCACTGTGTATACTTTATACACTCACATAAAAGGATTTAATTATATTAACATAATAATAGAATAAAAAAGAAAAGCATGGTAAACATAATAACAGGACTCAAATAAAAAACACAAAGTTAAAGAAACAATTAGCAGATAATGAAGGAAACTTTAAATTATAATTTAAAGTGCAGTTCACAGTCTTGCTAAAAGTTTAGAATATACTGGTTCTTTTTTAAGAACTTTAGAAAATATACTTGACCTGCAACTGGTTGAGTAAGTTATCCAGAAAAAATAAAATTAAATTAAAAAGTTGTTTTTAACGATTAATTTACACCTGAAAAAGATTTGGAGGTTTACTTAAAAAAGAATCAGAAGCAATGATAGAAAAGTTAGAGGATAAAGTGGGAATGGGAAAGAGTTTGTTAAATAAAGATGAAGAAATAAACAAAAGAGATTATTCAGCAACCAAAGAACTACCAGCTTTATCTAAAAAATGAGTAATAATAATGTATGCCGGCTTAGTAATCGTGGCCAATTTCCGTTACTGGGCCACATGGGCAAAAAAAAACATATCTGACGATGCATTCAATTATATTAATATATCGTCATTGGTGGGTCCGATGTGAGGGCTATGCCCGAACCTGACATGTAGTGACTTAGCTTTCTGGTTAATTCCTCGATGAGGGCCAGGTTTGAGGCACGTAGTGCCGAAATAGTATTCGTATCCTGGCTTTGTATGAAGCATTCGAATACTGATTAAGGATGAGACACATACACTCCCTGGACAAAAGTATCCGATGAGAGTTTTTTCGATTTTATGCAAATCCAGTATAATAATTACACAAACTTTTTATATCATTTGTAGCTTTGCTTTTTGCAAATCTGCGTGTGAAGTTTGAAGTGTTTAGCTTTCTTGAACGACGAATTATCAAACAAAAGACAATTGTAATTAAAATCAATTTCGCCGATTTTTTTGGCTCTAAACATTTTAGTGCTGAGTTGGCTATCCATTATTCAAATACATGCCTCAAGCCGTCTTGGCATGCTCTTAATCAAATTGGAATATGATTAATGAGGAATTAGTGATTATTTCTCTTTCAGAGCAATCTCTAATTCTGTGGCATTTTTTGGGCTTATTTAGTCGCCTTTCAAGCTCATTTCAAAAGTGTTCAATTGGATTAAGGTCAGGAGATGGCCAATCAGATAACGTTTTGATTTCTACAAATAATGTCTTTTAATATTTTTATCTTCATTATTTATGCTTTTAGGTCTACCACTCCTTCGAGCACTTTTTAAATTATCAGAGTTTATGTAGCGAA